TTTTTTTTTTTATTAAAACACAGGTATTTGGTGGGCAATCTAAAAAAAAAGGAGAACAATAGCTGTCTTAGGTCCCCTCCCCTACAAACATCTGCTGTTCATGTGAAGCACCCCACCAATCATGGTGTCACTGGCCTTCAAACGAAAGACAGTACTCCAGAAAAACAAATCCTGCCAAGTCCTCATTATTTCCATGGCGAAAAGGGATACAGTGAGATAGAGGAATGGTCTGCATGAGCTAGAGAGAGGAAAGAGTTCATACAGAACAAGAAAGCAAAAGAAACATGGGGTTGTCCAAGAAATGGAATCTGGATTTACAGGAGCTACTCAGCAGAGCCTGAACAGAATGGATTAGGTTAGTCTCCCAGCTAGCAGAATCAAGTTCAAACCCCAACCAGACTCTGGAAGTTGCTCTCAGCTTTCCTCTCTTATAGTACAATTTGAACAAACACAAACGGGTGGAGCTACAGGGACTTTCAACATCCAAGGTGCCGATGCCGTACAAACAACGGGAAGTAATGGAAGTGCCACCGAGTGGCTTGTCACATGCGCTCGCTGGCCCACGCCACGTCCTCGCTGCCCTGCACAGGACTTGTCACTCCTCTCCTGTATTCCTCATACAATGCAAGTGCCCTCTGCTCYTAAACCTCTTCCTGAAGCCATACACTGCAGCAACCATCCTCCAAATCCAGGCAGCATACCCACACAGCAGCCCAAATACTGCCCAAAGAGCATCTTTCAAAGAAATGAGCTCTTGAACACAAGACTTAGTGTGTACTAGGATCTTTCTGTAGGAGACTCGGCAAGTTAGAAGTTAAGAAACTCATGTCCCTGCATCAGCAGGAGGAGTCAAACAAGTGGGTGTCTTGTAGCTCTGAACATGACCGGTTCTTAATTTTTCAATCCAGAAAGAGGAGAGCAATTGAGCCTGACCCTCTAAAGTGAACATGCTCATTGTACAAATGCCAGAACAATCCTCCAGCACTAGCAAAGCTGAAACATCCCTGCCCATAGCACAATGGCTGGTGCACTTGTGCACACGTCCTTTCTGACTGATGTCTCCGTTGGCACACACAGTGGGCAGCTCAGCTTTTCCCACTTCTTCTCAATGTAACAGCTGCTGAGCAGCAATGTCCAACAAATGCCACCAAATGCATACAAGTCCTTTCTGAACGGAGCTCAACCTGACCTTGTACCCAGCATAGCAACTTCAGAAACAACGTGGTGCTCTTGCCTTTGGACAGTCAAGGGGGTGCACCTTTTAGTTAAAGGTCAGTCAGAAGAAAAGAGAAGGAGATCACCACTCCTTCCCTCAAAGTCTATGTGCACTTTTAATGGCCACTGGGGCTTTGGAGTAAAGGATGGAGTTACATGGTATATGTTTGGTAATACATTACTGGCAGAAGGGGGAGGTTATTCTCTTGGAAAAAAAATCATGGAAGAAAACTCCAACTATGAAAACAGAAAGTACACACACAAGAGGAAACACTATTGTACAGTAAGGTAGCGATCATAGAAAACAAAAAATTTCTGGACAGGCAAATGCAAATAACATCTGCACTCCTGCACTTTCCTCATCCCCCAACTTAAATGAGTTTTCCAGTCCATTGCTTGCTCCCCCCTCTCAGAGTTTGATTTTGAATTCTGTGGGCTGCACTGTGGCAGAGACCCCTGAGGATTTGAAGAGTGCCTTCAAGATAGTGTCAGGGTCCACTTCAGCTGGGGGATTTGAGGAGGCGCTTGCACTTGACCGGCGTGGTTCCCCTTCCTTCTTCACTGAAGGGGTATCACTCAATCGGCTGAAAGATTACAAAAAGAAAAATAAGCCAGTATTTAACCTCTCTTGATGATAAATAAATTTTAACACTGTGTTTTCTGCAAAGAAAACATCCTCATCTCAGATTATTTTCGAACCTTAGGACTGAGAACACTGTGTAGTCAAGCTATATTGCACTCAACATATTGTGTCACAGAAGGGAAGAGTAAGAAAATTCATGGGACAACAATTCTCAAAATAGAACCTGCAAAAGTGTTTGGTTCTTTTCCCCACTGAAGGACACTTACAGCAATATAGGCTGGTCTGAGGTGATGACATTCCCATTCATATGAAGATTGCATTTCATTGGTTGACCTAAATAAAAATGAAATACAAAAGTCATTCTATCCGAATTGGGATAAGGCAAGGTCCTTGAAACATCACACAACACGGCAAGCAATAGAGTTYAACATGCTGGAGAAACATGACAAAGAACAGCTGATAAATCTTTTGTTGCAAAATCAGAGCAACTGAAGAGCCACTCAAACACAGCACAATATGAAGAATCATACTAATTAAGAAGTTACAAAGAGGTATGAAGCCCTTAGCTGTGTGCTCCTCATCTGAGACCTGTAACATGTCACTCATCTAGAGAAAGAAAAARCATCTATTTCCAGCTAAAAATTAACAGTTTAAAATTCATTTCAGTTTAGCATGGTTAAAAATAGAATTGCATTATTTAAAGTTTACGGAGAATGTGATAYTGTTTTATAAGTCCAATTCAAAATGTATCTGAGTACACCCTGAAACTATTGCTAATAATAGTTTTACTTGTACTTTGCAAGCAGCTCTGCAAGCAGGTAAAGCCTTCCTAAGGACTATCCAGCTCTTGGTACCAAATTAGAAACAAAAGGAATTCCATTTGTAAGTTAGACCAGGAGACTCATCAGGACCCTCCTCCAGCTCTGAACATTCTTTTTCTAGGAAAATGTGGGTGGKTTTTTTATTGCACTTAAACTGTGCATATATTCAGCTAGTTACACAGCATTTATTACCTTAGCTAGCTCTTGAACTGATTTTCTGGCATTTCTTCTCTCTTGTTAGCATATGAGATGCTTTCAAACCTTCCATTCAGGTTGAAAATTYATGGTTGATTTATTTATCCTAAATGCAACTCTGGCATCAAACTTACCATCTAGGCACCTGTTGTTGTATTTCTTATATGCTGTGATAGCATCTTCTTTCTTCACAAATACTACTTCAGCCACTCCAGGGTGCACCAGGCGGGCTCGCTTCAGAGCGCCACACACACAGAATAACTCCTGAGGGCAGAGAGTCAGTCGTGACATGGTCAYATCAAAGGCACTGCATGAGAAGGGTTTACTTACTTCATCACACCACCCATCCTGCTTATTAAACATCTGATATGATCTGGACCTGTCTTACTGTGTTTGCTATGGTRTAAGTACTTGGCACTAGTAACAGATTCCACAAGCAGAAAGGTTCAGGGCCAGTATCGAGTAACRTTTTTCACACAGCAAGACCAGATGCATTCTCAGCCTGCTGAGAATGGAAGCCCCTAGATAACTTGGATGTGGGCATAAATTTAGATAGAAGMATTGCTTGGCATGGTCTCTTCTTCTAAAAGATGGCAGGTATCTCAAAATAGTCTGTGGGATTTTCTTAAGCACACACTTTAAAAAAAAAGTAAAATAAACCCAAACCAATCAGGAACCCTCCAAGTTTTTGCAAGGAAAGTAAACCCACATCATACCCCTCTTCATTGCATTTACCACAGATCAGCTGATTTCTAAAAGAGGTAGGATAAGCAAAGGAAGTGTCACTCATGCAGTCTGGCAGTAAGCAACACTCACAACAATATCTTCCTCTGTGACTCGAGGATGCAGATTATTTACGGTCATCTTCGTGCCTTCCAAAGGACTGAATGCCAGCTGCCAACACAAACAAAAGCACCACATGAAAAATAYTAGAAATACAGCACACAATACAGCACAGCAGAGAAAGCAATAAAAATTCAGTAAAGATATGTCTGTGAATGTCTGTACACACACAAACACACACACAAAGCTACAACTAGTAATGGAAAGTATCGATGTTTACTAAAGCCCAGCTCATTTTATGGCAAAAAGGAGACCTTTTCCATGCTAGTTTGTCTCTGAAGTAATTTTTCACTCTTATTCCCAAGAATAACACTAACTTAATCTGCATACACAGTACTCTGGTCATGCCCACACTTTTAACAGCCTATCTCTGCTGTACTCCACACCAGCCAGCARACCCCAAAATACAGCTCCAGATTCTCAAGAGCATGCTGAATTCAACAACCTAGGAACACCTGGTGGGTTACTTGTATTCAATATCAGGCAGTTTGGAAAAGCAATTCCAGGCAGGCTGTTTACAGCAAGAAGCTGTATTTGGAAGAACTCTTTTTTTTCCTTGCTAGCTGGAGGGGACATACAACATATCAAATAGTGTTAAAACACTACTCCTAGGGACATGAAAGCCACCAAGGAGTGTCCAAACAACAACTGCCACCTCCCAATAATATGGATTCCTCCAGGACCATGTGCAGGGAAACGATGTTTAGACAGGTCTCATTCTTGGGACATGGACTGCAGTTATCACAAAAACCTTSATGATATCCCAGAAATATTGGTGAAAGGTAGGCAGAAATGAGCTCTGATATGTCTGAGGAACAGCAAGTTTCAGATACTTCAGAGACTTCTATAAAGAGCATTTTCCCCTTGCCTGAGCTCACCTCAACAGGTGCTGGCTCTTTTGGAGGCTCTTCCTTTGTCACTAAGGTCCGGGACATGTTTGTCAATGCCTTTGTCCGCATAGGAGAGGGAGGTGCAGGTGGAGCTGTGTATGTATCATTCTGGACCACTTTAGTCAGGGGAACAGTCTTGGACAGAGAGAATTTATTGCTGTTCAGACCAGTCTGCAGGAAAAAAAAGAAAGTAWCTCAGAGCTGCAGCCTACGAAAGCCATCACTCTTGTTCAAGCACCATGACCAGAGTATTACTAGTATGCACTAAGAACTGCATGTCCTTCCTAGTGTCAAAACCACTACAGATGCTGGAGACTTTCAGCTCTAAGCAAAAACCAGCAAAAGCTTCTGGGCATAAACATAAAAAGGTATGCTTACCCAGAAGGAGTACTTCCTTCATAAGCACTCTTTGGTTTCATATTCTTCTTAAATGAACTTTAACAATGTGATCTGAATTTAAAAAGCTCCTCTCATCCAAACATTTTCACGTACTTTACAAAAYGTTCACAAAGATTGCTCATGAACAGTAAGATTGAGAAGCCCTAGTACAAAAAGCATTAATTCCTCAGAATCACCAAGCTAGACATGGAACATAACCTTTGCAGTTGGAAATACTTCAGTTTAAAGCCAGACTAAAACTTCTGCTTGGAAGCTGCTGTGAACACTGGAGAGAACAAATTTACTCCTGAAAAACCCTAAAAAACATCTCACTAAAAAATAACTCAGAATCACAAATAGCCAGAAGCTCAATTCTGAATACCCACATGAGGAAAAAAACCCATGGGGTAATTATATCACTACAGTGATGCCTGAGTGATGGTAAAACCACATGAATGTGCTTTTTCAGAACTAGAGAATAACTAAGTAAAAACCTGTGTCCAACCCCTATGTCTGAAACAGTGCTAACTTCAAAGACACATTAGGCTGGCTAAGGGCATAATCCAGCTAAGCACTGGACATCCAAGAATGACTGCACATCCTCTCTGGGTCCATGTGCAGATGCTGATCAATACCATGAGAATTTCACCAGCTATAATTTCTTTTGCTGCAGCACATTGGTTTCTCTTCTCCATGGTCACTCCTGAAAAGGACCTGGGTTTTGCCTTTGCCACGACCAGRCAGTGACAATGGACAGATCTCACTACAGCCTTCTCAGCCTTGAGACACTGCTCTCTCACCCTCTCCTCACACATAATATGCTGCAGCCCTCTGACCACCCTGTTGTACTGGTTCCAGTTGTGTCTTTCTTGTATCACAGAACCCCAAAATAGGCTGCATTCTCAAAATGTCCAACAGGTACATTCAAAATTCTCAGGTGCATTCTCAAAATGTCCAACAGGAATGATTATCTTCCTTGATTTCTGGCTATGATTTTACTACATCTACAGTTGGGCTTTGCTGCTGGAAGGATGCACTACTCAAGTCACTCTTAGCAGATCACACAGCAGGAACCCCCCAAGCTCTTTCCTACAAAACTGTTTGCTAGCCACTCAGTTCTCAGTTTAAGCTGCAGAGGGTCGTTCCCATGCTAAAAGAAGGGCCTTAAATTTGTCTGTACTGAAATTCCTCCTTCTCCCGAGCACCAGTTCTACCCAACAAGATACCAATTAGGATTTTTGCACAGCAAGGTTATTTCTTGCTTTGATGCTCAGTCTCCAGAAGCAGCAGAAAGCTTCCCTTGCTGGTTTACTCCAATAGTAACAAGACAGGCTCAATGCACTTCCTCAACAAGAATAAAGTCAAGAGCCAAGACGCAGCAACTTACCAGCACAGTAGAAAGCACACRTTCTGGCTGCTAAGAGCCCATAAAACCAGTTACCCTAAAAGAACTCTGTTCCAAACATAACAGTAGAAGCATTGGCAAAAAGGAAGGGTGGGGTGAAGAGCAAATATTTGAGGAGAAAACATTATTTACAGACTTCAGAAGAATGCAAGCCCTGTAAAGACACAGCCTCTGTGTCCATGTAATATGGGCATGRCATGGTGGGGACTGCTCAGATAATCCCTTACCGAGTTGTGCAGAAAACTGTTTGTGGTGGTGATTTTCATCTGTTTGCTAGGAAGGGGAGAGATGCTTTCATCATCATCTTCCATGTCATACAGACCCTGAAGTGAAGAAGKTAATAGTTTACAAGCAGTTAGATTTCACTGATGTGTTTTAAAATAGGTAGTTTTCTCTGGCCTTCAACCATCTTCAGCTAATAAACACAATTATACTGGATTTTAGCTTCAGGTATACAAGTCCATGTCAAAACATTTMCTTTCCAAAAACACCACAGCAAAACTTCTTCCCTAGATATACTGAAATCACATAGAGAGTTCTCTACTAGACCTCACTAGGACTGTTTGAGCTACATCAAAGGAATAAAGCCTCAGTCTTACTTTTTAGCACCCTGCTACTTTTACAGCTGAAGCCTGTGCACATGACTTTTAAATGAGTTTGGGGGTGGGGCTTTTTTTAGTTGTTTTTTTGGTTTGTTTGTTTTTTTTTTTAATTGTACAGACGCCTGCTGAAGACCTTAACTGAACATTCCTTTTCAATAGCCTGCTTTCCTTAGTACAGACCATATCCATCTGGCACTAGAAAACACTACACTAGGAGGTTTACTGAATGAATAATTAATTTTCCAGTTCAACTTAACACTCACAGCCCTGCCTCATACACTAAGGTGAACTCCTACACAAGTATTTTTTTCACTGACTCCAAATAATGTTAAGAAAAAGTCTAGACATATAGCAGTGCCCAGAACATAAGAAATCACAATTGCAAACAGCTTCCCATTGATCCAGTAGAAAGGTAAAGAAAAATGGAGGGATTAGCAATGAAAGCTTGTGGTATCAGTGGGTTGTCACAGTCAGCAAGATTCTGGTTTACAAACAGGAAAATTGTTCCAGCCACAGAAATGCTATGAAGGAAAACAAAAAAAAACAGAAGGATGGAGAACAGAGGAGAATTGTGCAGAAAATAAAAGAGCTGGGAAAAACACTAGCCATCAGGACCATGGACTTGAGTTTCAGACAAAATTAAATGGATTTCGTATTTACAGTGATGAGGGCAGAATAATGAAGACACTTCCTTAAACAACAGCATCTTGGTAGGTGAGGGTAGCAGGCCAGCATAAATGTAACACACACAAATAGCTGAAGTAACTATAATCAAGGCTAAAAACCCCCAACCTTGACATGAATTACAGTTTTTCAGTATTTCATGCAATACCTCATGCATAACCTAAGTAAAAAACCATGTAATTCCTCTCTGAAAGCACTCAAGGTAGTAAGCTGGATGAATAAGGGGGCTGTGACAAAGGCTTTTAAAACTGATCCCATGAGGACAATACTTTCTCAAAATCTGCTTGATAAGGGCTATGAGAACTTCAAAAAGACATCAGAATAGTAGTTAACATCATTCACTATCAGGTTTCCAGTAGTGGCCCACAGCTGGGATGTTGCAGGAAGGTTATACCCTCCCCCACATTTGACCATGTACAATCACATACACTCTCTGAAGAGGCTGGCAGCATGGTCAATCAAAACAACCAACAACTTGATCTGATGTGATGTCACTAAGAAACTTATAGAAAAACAYTAAAGCTAGAGGCCAGCCTCTAGGGAAAAAATTACCATTAGCACACATAGATAAAACTAGGAATATTTACTTCTCATTCAGATAAAACACTAGGAATTAAGATGAATTATACTAAATGAAAACCTCARTAACCATGAAACTATCTTAACCATATAACACATGGAAGCAAAGCTGATAGAGAACTTCCAAACACTTTCTATTTCCTACTCAAGTGTTTTCTTTGCACCTGCCAATGTTTATGGACACATYTTCTTCCCTGCCAAAGGTAACAGAGTACAGAGCACATACACACCTGTTTATGTGTATGGTTGTTCACCACATTGATCCTCATTCCTGCTGGATGAGAAAGTCCAGGAACTGGAGCCTTCTGCTACAGTTAGAGATAAAGAACCAAAGCATTAAGCACTACAGTCCATCATGTTCTCAATTCAGAAGATCAAAWGTGTTAGCTGAATACACTGAGATCACTCAAATTAAACTCACCCTCCTGCCTTGAAATACCTAACCACAATGTGCTCTTAAATAACACCTATGTTACCTGTGMTACGTTCAATATGAGATAGATTTTAATTGAAGTGAAACTAAGACCATTAATGAAGAAATGGATTCAAATTACTTAGGATTTAGTCCAAGATTACTGGGAAGGCAAGTTAATTTCAGTCCTGTCAGGACTGACTAGACATAGATTTCTGCAAATACAAAACCRTGAATGGGTTAAGTCAGAAAGAAAGTGTCTCTTCTTCCATGCTACAAGTAACTAAACATACATATCTCCATGGAACAAAAGGAGTATATACTGCCCCTAGCACTAGAGCTGGAATAAGCTGTAGTGGAATAAAATTATGCACAGGGTAGTGTAGCTGCCCCTTCTGCAGCCCATCGTATCATCAAACAGGGAAAACACAACACAAGTAGCTAGGGAATGTAGCTGTACTAATCAATAACTGAAATAATGCAACAGCACCCTCAAAAATGCCCTTTCTTGTTTATTACAAAACCTGGAAGCTGTCCAGTAAAGAATGGATCTTCCTACAAAAATAGTGCACACAGGCAGTAAAATCTTCAGATTTGCATTTTCTCTAGACTGTAACTTATACCATAGAACCTCATGTTTCAATTTGCTAATCAATTCAGAAACAAGAATACCCATCCTACAGCAGCAGACCTATGGAATTTTTTGGTTCCAAATGTTTTTCCTTGCTTTACAAGAAAYAAGCCTTCAGAATATCACTTTTAAAGCTGCATGCCCTGCCTGGAATCAAGATACACTAGTTTGATTCTGCTTCCACATTTGGAAAGATAAAAGGGTCATGGGCAACTTGGAATTTCAATATAAATATTTTTTTAATTTTTAGATTATTGCTTATGTGCAAGGTTCTTTCGATAGTCTGAATCACCATTATATCCTATATATAAATAAATATATATGTTTGCTTGCACTMTGCTGTCTAACAAACAGAAAATACTACTGGTAAAACCAAGTCACAAAAAAACCCCAAAACACCAGGTCAGAATAAACAGCCACTGCATTCAGTCTCTGGAAACTCCTAGAAACTGTAGAAAATGTTCAACTCCTCATGAAGTGGTGGTGATTTGGCTCAGAAGGACAGCAAGAGTACTAATCACTCTCCTAATTAATAACTGCCGAACAGACTGCTCTGTTGCTCTGCGATTAGCTCTTCTTACTGCCTCAAGAGTCCTTTCTCTTTCTTACATCAGCCTGGCCGTTAACCTGTAGGGCAGTGGGAAGCTTCCTAGCCAAATTTACAGAAGAAACATGTTTGATGCTCCTGAGCAAAACCCACAGCTGAACAGAAAATAGACTCGTCTAGGCTTTCAAACTGATGACAATAGGAGATTTCTGGGTATGTGTTAGCACAGTCCTGATTTTTGGGAGAAGGAAAATGGAAGAGATACGCTAGAAACTTCAGTTATGTGCTTGTAGAGGTAAGGAGCAAAACCACTTAAACAATCCCAACAGTCTGGAAACTTGTCTTCTGACTCTACCCATTGTACCTACCAGACACAGTTCAACAGCAGTGTTTCTCAGAGAAGCTGGCTAAGAATCAAGTTGCTGCACACAGCAAAGCGAAATCAGAAAACTGGCCCAGGAAATCAGCAGGTCARGGTAACCAACTGATTATAATACAATTGCAATAAATCTTGAGCCTGAGAGGAATGCATTATGTGATCAGGCAACTCCCTGGAAACCAGGGCTCTCCTGAAAACCAGACAAGTATAAAAAGGGAAAATTGTAGAAGGGCTCACTGGATTTTAAATTTTCTTAGATATAAACACAGTTGCATATTCTAAACTGTTATCCCACCACTAGGATAAACCAGTTACCTATACAGGACAATCCACCTCACCAGACTTGCAAAGAAGGGTAGTGTAACAATGACAAAAAAACCTGCATAATATCATTTGCATTCAGGTAGGAAAGAGACTACTTAACCATTCAAGACCTCTTCTTTAATGCTGAGAAGAGAGCTGTGCCTTAGACTTTTTGGGCCCAAAATTAAAAGGAAAGGTGTGATTCTACAAAAACRTCTAAACAGCTGTAAGGACACACAAAACAATCAGAATCCTGCCCCTGGAATGAACAGGCTGGAATTAATTGCATTATCATTGCTTCTATTGTAACCATCTGAACATATTAATATATTATAATTTTTACTGAAATGCTGTAGAGTAATTGAGGGGCTCAGAGGTGACTTGCTTCACCTACTTGGATAGTTTTGGTGATTTTCATGGCTGGATTTACTGTCCCCATAGTTGGGCTGATAGCAGCTGGAGTGCTCCTTTTTAAGCTGATCTTCTCTCTGGCATCCACCACTTTGGTCACCTTTTCAGCAGCAACACTTTGCTGCTTACGGGAATTCAACATCTCTCGAGCATCCTGCACCTTCCCTTTGATTTTGAACCGAGCATCCTTTTGAACCAGTTTTTCACGGGCATCTTTAACCCCCAGTTTGTGTCGGGCATCAGTGAGTCCTATCTTCTGTCGGGCATCAAATGTCCGCTGGAAGCTCACAGTTGGTGATGATCTATTTAGAAGATTTTGCTGGATCCCAATGCGAGATCTTACACCCCCAAACACCGGTCTTGTGTTAAGTCTGGGGACAAAAAGAAAAAAAAAAAAAAAAAAAGAGAGAGAGGAAAAAAAGTTTCAGGCATTTTAAGATGTGATACAGTGCCAATAAAAGTATTTGTGCTGCTGCAAACAAAAGCTTATTATTACTGCACAGAAATCCACTCAACTTGGATGTCTAAATAGAACAGAGCTCCTAAGCCGTTTTATGCTGGGTTTTACTTTCTACATAAACAGCTAAGGAACTGAATTTCCAAAATCCATCCTTAAGCTCACACTTACAAACTACAGGATCTGTAACTTCAGCTCAGCTAAGTACATACCACATTTAAACAAAATTCAACAACTCAGATACCTCAGTGAAACCTTTGAAGACAAAGAGGAACAGGAACAGACTTTCTAGCTTTAGGACTGAACAGGTCTGCTAAAGCATCTTTTGTAATACAATAATACATCCTGATACAAAGGAAACATGGAACTACATAYGATTCAGGAACCCTGGGCAGCAAGTTCAGATTTGTGGGAGCACAGCRACTTCAATTTTATGGTGTATAAGTACTAGTAACAACCTCAAGGCTGACTAGTTTCCAGCAAGAATAGTCATTAGTTGAATTACTTTTTAACATGACTGCCTGTCCTTTAATCTAATAAAAGAACTACTGCACTTGATGKACTACTGCACCTTTACTTTTTAAGCACATAATTATGACAATACTGAGCACAGAAAGACAACAGCCCACAAAACTACAGCATTTGCACTGKTAGACAAGTATTCCTAAAAAGCAGTACAATATGGGGTAAAAGCCAAAACTACCTTCGTATTACAGGTCTGATACACTTTTTCCAAATCTACCCTAAGAACAAAACTGGTTTATCTAATATTTTAGTGGAGTTCCTCTGATGAGTATTTTAAAAGTTTTTCCATTTTTTTTTAAATTAAAAAATAAAAGACAAAGCAGTAAGAGAAATTTTAAAATTAAGGTACTGAAAAAAATATTCTTGCTGTTAACTTTTTAGAAGTCAAAACAGAGGGCTACAGTGTTCATCTGCTTTARGAAATTTGTTGTCCAGTATTACAAAGTCTAAAAGTAAATATCTAGAATTTGTCGTAATACTCAAAAGGATTACAAATCAAATGATGATGCTATTTCAATTCTTCATACACCTTTGTATCCGTATTTCCAGATACTTCCACAACCTTAACATTATTACAGTCACGTATTTTCAGCGGAGAGATATTTGAAAAAAAAACAAAAAAAAAAAACAACTAATCAACCAACCAACAAAGAGATTAAAGACTTAACCTCTGCTCCTGTCTCTTTCATTCTTGTGTCCAGATGTCTGGAAAGYCGGGACTGGAGTCCCACTTTATTACCTAGGTAAGAGTCCAATGGCTGCTCTCTCTTACAGCCAAAGCAAACCAGCTAGAAGAAACAGGAGTATTATTAAGACCATCTATGAAAATATACCCAGAATAATACAGAAAACTAACAGTACCCATAAAGCAACAGACACAGAGGAAAACTTTCCTTGCAATTTTAAAAAGCATTTCTTTAGCCATGTTGAAAACAYTCAGGTAGAGTGCTGCAAAAGGCTGGATGAGTGGTTCATGAGCGTAAGAGAGGTCAAAGTGAAACAAGAAATATATGTGTCAGCATTTAAGCCCAAATTAGTTAAGACTGTTGATGACAAAAACCYATGAAATAGGTTGAGAAACTGTACTGAAGATTACACCATTTCTGAAGAGTTGAGTTTACCCTAATAAGCAACTCTCTTCCACAGATAACTGCTTACCCTTGTAAGAGAATTAACTGCTTAGGTATTTGTGCCAGAGCACCCAAAATAAAAGCAGATCTCAAACATCTAATTCACTTTCCAGGATTCCAAGCTCTGTCTTGAATATGTTATGGATTAGTACATTTTATGTGCTAAGATTTTAGAAGATTTTTCTATTATTTCACCTAGACTATTGGACAGCATTGATATAATGATTTAAGTTTATTCAGTTTATCCAGCCTTCACAAAGCCAAGTTTGCTACCTCAGGAATCCATGAAGTGGGCTAAACATGACATATAAGAAGACTGTGGGCACAACAATTCTTACAGTGCTGCAGAGATTATTTTTCAGGAAAAAAAGGCAGGAAGAATTCCTGGAAGAAATGAGAGTAAAGGAGGAATTTGAAAAAGGATAAAGGAAGTACTTGGGGCACAGTAAAAAGCCTAAGACTATTGCAAATATGGAYGATAACATGAATGAAAGGCCAAAGGCAGGGCATTGTCTAGATTAGGATTTAAATGTTTGAATTTTTGGCAGTGTATGCTAGCAGGCAACTTTCAGAATATTGCTCTAGACATGTAAGTGTATAYACACTCACAGTTTAAAACTAAAACAAATAAATTTTAAAAAGCCAGCAACAAAAAAACCCAAGAAAGCAAGAGCACACTGAGCTAACAGAGACAGGGAACAAGGTCTTCAGAGGCATTAAGAGACTATGGCAAAAGGGAAAATGAAAAACTATGGAAGGAGAATCCAGGTAAGAACTGCCAACTGTGGCAATAAGTGGCCTAGCCTACATCTGCCATGCAAAGAAATAATCTGACCTTGTMGCTCTGATCTGCAACATGCTCCACGTCCTCTCAAGCACCTCAAGCAATCTGTCAGAGCATCACGAACTACGCTACAGGGCCGACAGCTTCCGAGGCCCGGGCAGGGATGAGGCCGAGGGCCCGGCAGCCCCGGTCGGTTACGGCTCCTCGAGCACCACCAGCCCTCCCACGGCTCTCCCACAATGCAACGAGCCGCTCCCGGGAGCGCGGGACACGGGCACGCCAGGGCACTGCCTGGGTAACACCCGCAGCCCGGATACCGAGAGGGCTCAGGGGCGCTGACCCCGCTACGGGGAGCAGCGCTGGGTTAATCGGCGGGGACGAGCACGAGGCAGCAGGGACAGCGCAAGTCGGGGGACTCAGCGAGACGAGGGACAGCTCCAGGAATCCCGAAAATAATGGAGAGAGGCCGGTGGGTGTTCCTGCCCCAGCGGGGAAGCGCCAGGCACGGGGGCCGAGATGGGGGGCCGACCCCCGCCCCGGCCTTGAGTGACGGCCACCGCCGCCAATCGCATCGCGGCGCGGCCCCGCAGCTCCGCGGCTGAGCCAATGGGAACGCGAGGGCGGGAGCAGGGCCAGGCCGGGCCGCGCCGAGGCAGCTGCGGCCCGAACCCCCGGAGCGGAGGCGCCGCAAGGGAAACACGAAGAGCCGCCGGGGGCCCCGGGCCCGAGGCGCTGCGGCGCCCTCCCAACCGCTCACCTTCCTTTCACCGTCACACCGCGTTTCCGTATAAGCTCGTCCAGAGACAGGTCCGCCATCTTGTCGCGGCCCAAACGATAAGACGCAGCGAGCCAGCCCCAGAAGTGACACCGGACGACTTCCGCTCCTCGCCCCGCCTTCACAAGTGCGGCGGGTCCCGCCTCCAGYTCCGCCCCGCTGCGGTGGGGGCGCCCCAGAACCCCCTGCGGCGTTAGGGCCATTAATTTGCATACGGCGCGGCACGTCGCGGCCCGTTCGGTCCTGAGGAGCGGCTCCGCGGCGCGGGAGGGGACAAGGACCGTAAGAAATCATAAAGGCACTGGAACCTCAGTTTAAGACAGCGTAGGAAAGGGCTCGCCCTGACCTATAGAACTAATGCGGAGCAGTGTCCCAACGGCGCGGGACTATTGCTGTTATGCCTTAAACTTATGAGTAAGGAAAATAACGACCCGGGGTGACGCCCGGGTCCTCACTCCCAATGTGAGAGGAATTTTTGCGCGGGTACAGGTCGCCCCCGGGTGCCCCGCTTACTTCGCGGGATGCCTGAGTGTCGTGATCTGCCCGACCCTCCGTGCTGTGCGTTCCAAAGACAAAACTGTTGCAGCCACAGAGTGGCGGCGCAGCGCCCATAGGCGGTGGCGGTACCGGCATTGCAGCCTGAAACTRCGATCATCCTGGGGTTCAAGTATTTCCTAATCTGTGGCTCTGCCTCTGTTCGTTCCGCTGAGGTGGTGTAAGGGACTTCCCGAGACTRAGAAATAAATCACCAAACCCAGCCTAATATTTCATGTGTGTGCTGGAGGAGATTCCTTTTCTATGGCGTGTGAGGGAACAATTACACCGTTTAAAATCAAAGTCATCAGTGGAAAACAGCAGTGAAAGGGAAATGGTGCCTCAAGCAGCTCCCAGGGTCGTAACCTGCACGACTGTGGCTCTGTGTCTCACCGCGGGCCCTGGTGCTGTTGTGCCTCCCTCAAAACGCCCTTTTGCAGTACAGCACACCCTCACGGCCCAAAATACAGTTTTGCTCACGCCCGCTGCTCTGTCAGGAGGTTCACTCGTGACCCCTTCACACGGCACCCTGAGCTGYAGTAACCCTGAGGGATTGCCGTGCATGCTGCAGCACATGTCGTGTTGCTGTGGTAGCCCAAGCRCAGTCCGTGTGAGATCCAGAGATGGTCCAGGGGGAAAGCTTCTGGACTTAGCAGAGCAGAGGCTGCCAGTGAGGGCTGGGGACAAATGCAGAGGAGACCTGTGCAGCTGAGGTGGCTGCTCACAGCCACACARGCTTGGGGATCCTACAGCTGTGATTTTCTCTCAGGAAGCCTTCGTGAGCCTAAAGTCATACCAGCAGTGATGCCACCAGGTCCCTGCTCAGTTGTCCCTTGGTGCTTGGTGGCACATGACTGCATTAAGGTACACAAAATGTAGCCCCTCTTGTGCTCCCTTTCTCCAGCTGTTGAGGTACTTGATCAAACTAAGGTGGTGGGGTGGATGATGYTGACATTTCTTTTGCTGATGCAAAACCAACAGACAAAATTCGTTTGAGCAAATTCTCATGAGTATGGCTTTCAGAGCAGCCCAAGTGGTTCCAGACTATAGGGCCATCCAGCCAGTATCCTGTTTCCAGCCTGGAGGGATCTCTGTGGGGGTCTCTTCCAGGCATCCCACCAACCTTAGTCCTATTCATGCAGCCGTGATGCCTTCAGGCAGTGCCTCCACTCTCGGCTTCATGGTGAACCACATGCTCCTGCTCATTTTGCTTCCATCAGCCTARTTCTTTCAACCAAGGGTCAAGAGTGCATGTGTAGCTGCCACCCACCCTCTCTTCCACCTGTGATCCCTGAAGTAATCTTCTGTCCAGGCAAAGAATCGCAGTCCTCCTCAGACATTCCTTCAGTGAAGCTCCCTTCCCTCTGCAGGCTCCCACTTTCCCATGTGAAGTCTCTCTGGGAGGCTGGTTAAGGGGCACAAGTCACGCTGTTGTGCAAAAGGAAGGGTTTAAACCTCAGGATCTCCCACTCTCTTGGTTTCTGAATGTTTTGCTCTTCCTGTGAGACACAAACTATAGCTCAATTTTCACATGTTCTTCATGGTTCCTTATCTGAGCTGTGAATGAGAAGTCAAATATTTGCTCAGGGAAGGGCCCAGGCCTCTGCTTCCCTCCTTGTGTCTGGGAGRAAAGGTGTAAGCAGCAGCAGAGATCTCCTTGAGTGTACAGGTGCCTGCAAATGGCTACTTGTCCCAGTGTGCTGGAAAACTTTCAGGCCTGTCCTTGCTTTTTCACAGGCGGATTCCTTAAGAGTGTTTCCTCCATCTGCTGAGACCCCACAACATGAAAGTCAGAACACATGAGACCATTTCCCCATCTCACACCAATTTCCTGTTAAAATGTTAATTGGGAAATTATGCAAAGGACATCAGGACGTCATTTTAACCTTGGGAGGGTATGTGGCACAGCATCTGATTTAAAATACTGCCTCATCTTCAGACATCAAGAACTGGGAAAAGAGGATGTTTTGGATTATGGGTTAGATGTTGTCCTTTGCACCAGGAGATGTGAAAGTCTGGCAACAGGGAAATTTCATGCATAGAGACACTTTGCACAGTGGCAATCAGTGGATCTTTGTTGCTAATGGATGAAGTACCTGGTTTGTAGTGAGAGGTTAAAAATCCTCTTATTTCAGTGGTCTGTTCACTGTTCACTGTTTCGGGGCTACTGCACCTAAGGCCAAATGTCACTTTTTACAGGGAGGGGGAAATCATTGGGCCTTCAATATAACTGAGCACATGTAATGGGGAGAAGGTGTTTTAGCAGTACCTCAGAGCCCAGGTCTGCTGGATTTTGCTGGGTGCTGTGCAGATATTGGGAAAATCTTTAACAAACAGTGTTTAGCCGTGTGAATTCTTTTAACAGACATGCATGTATTAGTTTATACATAGATACACAYTAGTGTTAGATAGCTGGGGAGTGTTAGGAGGAACAATCCCCCATGGACCCACCACCAAAATAAAGTAATGCCTGTTTTCTAATACTGAAATGGTAGTGTTAGCAAGTTTTATTTTTCCCAACATTTTTGGTGACACAGGCAGAGCAAAAAGTCTGCGTCTGATATTAGGAGATACTAGGAAATGTATGTGAAATGTTTTAGAAAGGTTGCAGCAGTGCTTTTAGCCTTCTGAAGACCTTTAAATCAGTCTTTGAAATATAAGGCTTTGTAACTTGAATATTTTAGCCTAGCAAAAATTATATTAGGCACAGAAAAATTAAAGGAAAGAATACAGAGGAGATGCAGAAATCATGTGCTTCAGAGATAAAAGTGATGTACAGCATAGGACCAGACAGACTCAGGGAGCCACAGGGTCTTAAAAATTAGGCTAAAAACTTCTAAGCAGGTCACRAATAGAGCATGGCAGCTTGCCATATATGTAGTATTATACCTGTATAATCACATGGCATTTGGCTCAGGGTCATGCTGAAACTTGACCAATCAGATCAATCAGTCTCTCTGAGTTTGCAGCCAACATTTTCTTTCTGCCCTGGGGTATCAGGCTGGTTTTTCTTGACATGATGCATGTCTTCCCCTCACACCTGTTCCTTCCCTCCTCCAAACCATCCCAAACAATATGAGGTTTTGTCTGCCCTCAGCATCCAGCAGCAGTTTCTCAAGCCCCTTAGCCCTYATTTTGTCTGCATGCCCTGGACTTAACCAGAACATTCCTGACAGAGGTTAAGCCCAGGCATCGCATGGATAATCCACGAATTTTTTGCTTCCAGTTCCAAGTGACTGTGACRATGAGAGGTCCAGAGATGCTGTCTGCAGCTACATGCTGTTCCTTCTCCTGCTTCTTATTTCTCTCCCAGGCAGGGAGGGCTCAGAGATAGGACAGAGATTCCAGCTGCAAGTCCAGAGGGTTAGGACAGCGAAATGCTTGTGCTCCTGGCCTGGCTGTGCCACACCATTTATCTCTTGTGCTAAAATGAAATGGCTTTCCAAGGCACTATGGCCATGGATGCTGTGCCATGCTGCCATCACCATCCCTGCAACGCTATAATTTTGGGCTGGTGAAGCCTCCCACCTTCATGGGACCAAGGCTGGGAACAGCTGTGGGGTGACCCCCAGTTAAACCAGAGGGCTGTGGGGAAAGCAGTGACCATGGCAGGAAGGCAGGAATGGAGAGAGTTGCTGGAGCTGGAAACAGGATATTTGACTGAAAGACCAGAGKGTGCTGAGGAAAGGGGACAGCAGGGCACCACAGTGCCCTCAGCACAGCAGCACTCTTGGGAGAACACCAGGAAAATTAGGGCTTGGGCAAGGATCACTTCAGGAAAGAGGAGCCAAGCCCGGGCTTTGGCAGGGGTGAGAGGGGGAGAGAATTGATCTTTTTTTTCCCCACTGAAAAATGCTTTTTTTCCCTTCTCAGACAGTGAGACCTTTGCTTTGGCACCTGACCTATGACTACAGGGCTAGTCCTCCCTCCTCATGTGGTTTCTTTCCTGATTAAAAGTGATTAGGTAGCTCTAAATCCTGAAGAAATGTGACTGAAGGGAATGGAGACAAAGAGACCCTTCAAGAAGTCTTAAATCCTCAGGGCAGTATTTAAAGAGCCCTGAGGAGAGAACCAAAGCAGAAAGATCCTGCCAGGACCTCCCTGTCCTTCTCCCTCCTGCTGCACCTTCTGTTGCCAACATCTCCTCCAGGATGTCGCTCTCTGAAGTGGAGGTGCAAAGTGCTCGTGGTGCCTGGGAGAAGATATATGTGGATGCTGAGGACAATGGGACAACTGTGCTGGTCAGGTAAGGAAAGAGCCCATCCAATTGCTGCCCTGGAGGGGTGAAGGAGGAACAGCAAGGACAGAGTTACTGCCTAGGAGCATGTCTTGGTGTTTTTCATGCAGCCCTGCTGGRAAGAGGAGCAATCCACACGAGGAAAAATAAAAGGAAGGGGGGTAAAGGGGTGGGAAAAGAAGAAGAGACAAGATCAATTTCTTCACCCATGTAAGGTAAAGGAAAGAAAGTGTGGTATGAAAGAGAATGGGAACAAAACATGGGCCTTATTTCCCTCTTCCTCTTTACTATTATTTAWTTTTTTTTWAAAGCTCAGTATTTCACTTCYAAATTATTTAATTTTTTTAAAAGCTCAGTATTTCACTTCTGATTGTGCTTCAGCCCATCTGTTCCATTGTATTATACACTTTCTGTGGGCTTTCCTCTTAGTTTCCATTCTGTTTCCCTCTCTTCTGTTCACCTTTCACATATTCCTGTCTCCTCTGGAACTTACATCACCTCCATAAGCATGGATCAGTTCAAATACTATTTCTTGTTTTCAGACCTTTATCTTTCCCTCCAGCTTTCTTGTATATCACACCTTGTGTCTGGAATACCCTCACAAAGTGTTACATGCTGCTCTTTCCTTCTGCAGGCTACACCTGACCACAGTAAGGGTCAGAAATGCAGCCATAAAATGTTAGCAGCATCCAATAGCTTGCCTCTCCGGGGTAATTTATTCTAGAAGGTTTTGYTTTAGTGTCCTACAACCCCAGACCTGCCTATAGAGATGTTCAGGGCTTCCCAGGACAAGAAAGATGTGGAAAGAGTCCAACAAAGGGCCAGGAAGATGATGAGGGGACTGGAGTATCTCTCCAATAAAGAAAGGCTGAGAGAGCTATAACTGTTAAGCCTGGAGAAGAGAAAGCTCAGGGGAATCTTATCAATGTGTACATGAAAAACTGAAGGGAGAGTGCAAAGAAGGCAAAGCCAGGCTGTTCTCAGTGGTGCCATGAGACAGGACCAGAGTCAATGGGCACAAACTGAAATACAAGAGGTTTCCTCTGARAATCAGAAAACRCTTTTTTTACTGTGAGTGCAACTGAGCACTGGCACAGGTTGCCCAAAGAAGTAGTTGAATCTCCATATCTGGACGTGGTTCTGGCCAACTGGCTTGACCAGAAGTGTTGAACCAGATGACCACCAGAGGTTTCTTCTAGCCCAACCGCTCTGTGACTCTGTGAAATGCAATCTGGAATTTGCTATGGATATTTCAGGTGGATAACCAGTTTACCCAGTGGAGTAAGCCACTTTTTAAAAAAGAGTTTGACMAAAATGACTGTAATTGATCAAAGGTAATTTCAAACACACTGAATTGTGTTACTTCTGAATAAATGGAGTGAGCAGTACCCCATACTCAAACAGCAATCCATCACAGGCAGTAAGGAAGCTTTCGGGGGGACTCTCGGAAGGGGTTAATTAATAAAACCAGTAGTAGGGTTTCTCCATGAAAACATCCACCAGTATCACAGGGGTCATATCCGCTGTCTCGAACATCTTTGGGAACAGTCACCCAATTTGAACATGCTCCCACTTCTCTCTGAAAGTAACACAGAGTAAACATTGAGGAAGTATTTACTTTAGAAGCAGTGGAATAAGTTCATTACAGGTTTTAWGGTGGAATGAGCAGAGGAAATGCCCTGGGGAGAGGCAAGGGAGAGAGGACTGGTTGCTATGTGCACAGGGGCTGGCTGTATACAGATGCCAAAGGCACAGGAGAAACAAGGAATGCAGAAGTGTGCATTCTAATAAAGAGAAGGGGAAAAGGAGCACAAATGCCTAAGGCAAGGCCTGGAATGTGTAGCCATGTCTACATTGATACCTTGGTCCACAAGTAAGGATGTCTTTCACTTCTCAACAGGATGTTTACTGAGCACCCAGACACCAAGTCCTACTTCACACATTTCAAAGGCATGGACTCTGCCGAAGAGATGAAACAGTCAGAACAAGTCAGGGGCCATGGCAAGAAGGTTTTCAGTGCCATCAATGATATGGTGCAACACCTGGACAACCCTGAGGCTTTTCTTGGGATAGTGACTCCACTTGGCAAGAAACATGCCACCCAGCTGAAGATTGACCCCAAAAACTTTAGGGTGAGTGAGCAGCCCTCTTCCGAAAGGGTGTAATTGTGAGGAGAGGATGTTTTCCCCTTTGAGGGGTAGAACTGAGGAAAATAGGCTTTGTATGTAGGAACACACATATATATATATATGCCTCAGAGAATGGAGGTGGTGGAAGGTGAGATGGCTGATGGTGGAAGATGGCAGGAGTGAGAGATCTGGCATTGGTGGGGAAGAAGGCTGTGTAGCAGATGTCTGTGCAGGTCTGCACAGGTGGAGGCTGCACAGCTGCCTGTGTTCTGTAGTGGGTTTTTTTCTCAGTGCTATAGGATTCCCACACTCACCATTTAATAACAATATACAGAAAAGCAGTTTAACTGGACTTCAGTCCATGATTTATTTTTTATCTTGTAACAGGTACTGAGCTTTTYTAGGACAACTAAACCAGCTGCTGTTGAGCAACAATGGCAACAGCATTGTCATCATTAAACAAACACAAATAATAAATACAGGATTAAATTACTTGCTCAGATCCATTTAAGGTCACTAGTTGAATGCATTTGTAATTATTTTGCCTTACACAGCAAAAATAGGAACCTTCTGGGAAAGGTAATTTCCAAATGAAGGTGATTTCAAAAGCAGTGGGCCCAATTTTCACCAAGTGGGACAATACTGATGATTTCTGGCTGAAAATACTTTTCCAGGGTRAAGATACACACAAAATAATGCTGCACAGGAAAGGAGTTGGCATTTGAAAGTATAMCACCTACCTAGTGACTGCAAGGACAAATAAACTCTGCTGCAGAGTGCTAAATAGCTAATGAGCAGGAAAGATCAGGAAGAAACGTAGTCCCCAAGACATGTATTCCATAGTTGTGCAACCAAGGGTTCATCGTGGCCTCTAAAYATTAGGGACAGTCCCCTGCCAGGAGGATTGCAGTGGATGGACAAAGTACATCAGTCCTATATAGCCATCCTTAAGTGATAGGTGCAGTCAATATTAACTAGATACAGGACAGTTAAAAAAAACAGCAGCAGTTTTGTGAATTCTATAATGCATCTTATTTTTCATGCCCTGTTACAAGCTCTGTGGGCCATGTGCTGTGAATTGTTCTTGTACCCATTTCTGCCCTCCAAAAATCCCAGCTAAAGATATGCAAAATACAAGAGTTGTTATGTCTCTGTTGTGGAGAAAAGTTCACACTGGTTGTTTCTTCCCTCCTYCTTGTTTAGATTATCTGTGACATTATCTTACAACTGATGGAGGAGAAATTTGGTGGAGACTGCAAAGCTTCCTTTGAGAATGTCACCAATGAAATCTGCACCCACCTGAACAATATCTACAAAGAGGAGGGTTGGTGAGGATGTGCACCCTCCAGGCTCTTCAAACATCTTTCCAGCACTGATTTGCTGCTTTTGGGCCCCCAGCCACAGCTGGAAAATTAAAATCTAAAAATAAAAGGCAAGAAGGCTTATACAATATAGATATTAATGTCAATAATTTCTGTAGCAAACTGGGTTTCTACAGCTAAACAAAACCCGCAGATACATCAAAGTCAACCAACAAATCCTGATGTGCTTTGCAGTTTCAGTGCTCCAGGTGGGTTCCTCTGGCCATCATCCTTGAAGAGTACATTTTAAGATGATGACTTTAAGTTTTCTATTCCTAGAAGACAGACTTGCTCCTTCCAGCAGCATCAGTAGCTCTTTGGTTCATCTACCACCTCTCCATCCTCATGAATGATAGAAAAGAGACCATTTTGAAGCATCTTCAGAATCCTGGTAGAGGTAATTTTTTAAGAGGCATGAGTATTGTTTTGTTTGAACTTAAACAAGGGGGAAATGGTGAATGGGATTGACCAATATCTGGGAGAGACATGAGCAAAATCCCAACTTGAGCAAGCCAGCAGTCACCCAACCTTGGTTTCTCAGAGCAGCTTTCAGCACAAGGGATGGTAACACTGAGTGTGTTCACCACYGGACCCCTCTGGGCAGGGATGAACATCTCCAGGGTGTGGATTTCATTGTAACTCCCAGGAAATTACTTGGGCTGTGTTCCCACATGAGGCAAGAGAGCTCACTGACTTCTGTGCGCTCAAAATGCACCCAACTGACGGAGGCTGCTGCCTCGCTACATCAGCTGCGGTACAGGGGTCTCAGCCTGGCACAGGACTCATCCTGCCCAGTCACACAGCCTGAGCCTCCCTTCAGTGCTAACTGAAGTCCTGAACTATTTAATTGCTTTTCTTTGTACTCCTTAGAATTGGTGAAATAATCAGTTAATGCCTGCAAATAACCACATGCTGGTTTGCTTCATTGTAACACAATAAAGACATAGAAAGTAGACGTGCCTCTCATTTGCTTCACAGAAAAGGTGATGTGCAGCAATGGCAGCTGTTACAGTACCGTTCCTGGTGGTACTGGGGGTTTTCCAAAACCAGCTCAAACTCCCACCAAGTGACCCATCAAACCTGGCACAGTCAGGCTTCCCAGGTGGTGGGAAGGGAAGCTTTTCACTTGACCATGAAGCAGCAATTTTGTAAACAGCTAAAAATGCAGGTTTATTCTTCATTGAACATATAATCTTCCTCACCCACTGCATTTGGCAAAGGATGTGAAATCCCATAGTCCAGTGATGCCAAAATGATTTTTGCTTTTATATATTCTTCATATATATTCGTAGCTCTGCAGACTATTATTATATAGTTATATAGTATCCTAACTCCAGAACTTTTCCTATTAGACAAAATCCTGAAGGCCTATTCTAATCTTGCTCCCTCTGACAATCAAGGCCGAGACACCTTCCCAAGACACCTTCCCATATAATAGACATAAAGAGCTGGCAAGGAGAGGGGASCCTCAGAAGGGGTTGAACCGGGAGTGGGAATTACTTTACTACCTGGGTTTCTAACTGGGGATTCTTGTCAATTATGCTAATTTACTAAAATTATAAWACTGTACTTGCCCTATATCACATGTGCATTTTCGATGCGGGTGCATTTTTGAGGCTCAAAAGGCAACATCAGATGAACTCTAGCCAGAGGGGAGAACGGGGCAGGCTGCTTTATTTGCTTCGGTGTTCTGTTCTTTCTCAGGGAGAAAGGGAACCATATTGCACAGCATTAGCAAGGACTAAAAGAAAAAGACGTGTAAAAAAATATTTAGTCTCAAATCCCTCTGAGGGAGTGAAGTAGTTAAAGCTCTGAAAAGAGGTGGTGGCAGCTCTTTATTCTCATTGCTGTGCTGCTAACCAGTTTGAGTTTAGGAAGATTTGGAGGCAACAATTCAAAAAGTTACAGTAGTTCCATGCAAAATCCCCACTCACTTACCACCTTCTAGAGATGGAGACAGAGAGGCTGGAGCTGGGTTGAAGGTGCCTGAGGGTCAGTGCTGTGAAAATGCCTCTTCCACAGCCTCTCTGAGCCAGCACCTGGAATGACTTCTACCCTTGTGCAGATAATTAAGCATCACCATCAATACTTAACTACACTCAGCATTTGTCAGATCATTTCAGCCTGGGAAAGGGCTGYACAGCCACGACAGCTCCAGCTGCTGTCAGGCCTTTGTGACCTTGCTGGTGTCCTGCCCTGCTTTGTTGGTGGTTAATCCTGCCTTCCTGATGGTGATCTCCTAAGACTCTGCTTGCCTGCAGTGCTCTGGCAGCAGTACTGAGCCCGGGGAAGGGATTTGGGACTGCAGTTTCCCCAGCAGCAGGAAGTGAAAAGCCAAAACCAGGGCAGGTTAAGTCATGAGAGAATTTTCTAATTGCCTGCTGACTCCATTATATGCCCACAGAGGGGAATGCAGGGATAAAGAGGAGTCAGGGCTAGAAGCAAACATTTCTTGCTCTTTCCTTTTATTTCCAGCTGCTGCTACAACTCCTGCCCAGCAGTTTGCTGCTTCCCAGTTTTGCAAACTGCAGTGAAAGACAGATTTCAGGTCTTACCGAAAAGAATGAGTAATTAYATAACATTAACAGTGCAAGAATTTATTAAGCAAGTGGAAAAAAGTGATCAAAGCAAAAAAAAAATCAAAGAGCAAGAACCACTGTGCAGGACTGGACTAAGAGTGCATTTTTTATAATCCCTTGCATTGGGAGAAACTAATCTTTACTGTCTGTTGAATAAAGGACARCTATACTGAGGAAGGTGGCATGTGAAATAAGGGACAGAGAACAGTAAACTGGAGGGGTTACCAGGTGCCCTTGACACAGCACTGCACACTGCCATTACCTCTGGAGCGTGGCTCAGTCTGCATTTATACTTGGTTTARTAATTACTGCAACCCCCATCTGCTTGTTCCTAGAGCTAAACCCACCCACCTGGATGTAGCCACCCTTGGCTACCTTTCACTGCCCCAGGGGTCTGAAGTCTTGCTACAAATCTCTTTTCAGCTAAATAGATAATCCCTGCTCCAAGGCCATTTAACATTTGCATTGTTTTAGGGAGCKGGCTCACTTGTTTTCTGCCATTGCCCCTGGGGATGGATGGTGCAAAATAGGATGGACAGAGAGATGGGCTCCAGGGCAGTGTTATCATTGTAGCAACAGGATGGTAACTCCCAGATGCAACAGTTGGTGGAAAGCAAGAGGACAGAGGGGAACAGCTGCATATGCCAGCTCCACTGGCAAGTCTGATGGTGGGTAAGGGGATATGGTGGCACTAGGCCAAGCACCACTGCTTGGAAGTGTCACCATTTTACTCCGTAGTTCCTCCTGCTCCAGTGGGAAAAGCAACACACAGGCTCTCTGGCATTGGGCCAGACTGCCCAACCAAAGTGGCTGATTGGCCATCCTTGGGGSTAAGATGTGCCATTTGGGAACATGGTTTAGTGGTGAGCTGTTCAGTGTTGGGTTAATGGGCCGATTCGATGATCCTGAAGGCCTTTTTCAAGGTAACCCGTTCCATGGTTCCATGTTCAGGAAAGGATCTCATTTCTGGCAATGTGTCATTCTCCAGCTGCTTACCACCTTAACCTTTTTCTGTTTTACATCTCCCTGACTAGTCCAGAGTGATTATGAGATATGGGAATAATGCAGCTTCTCTGCTGTTCAGTGAAATAATTTACATTTTTGCTCAATTTGTACACCTGCAGTTTGTAGAAACCACTATGGAGCTACAGCCGCATCAGCAAAATTTCCAAGATCTCAAAAGCTGATGTTCAGCTACAGAACCCCTAGATTCCCTTGAGCACCATTTCATAATCTATTTGAGCATGAAGGCCAATGTCAGTAGCACTCTTCAGCTGTCCAGAGGAAATTTAAARGTGATGAATACCTCACTTTTGCACTCCTGGAAATTAAAGTCATTGGGTTCTGATGGGAGGGTGGAAGATCCGTATTCAGGCATGATTAACAAAGCAGTCTCCCCTTCTGATAGGTGCTCCAAATCTTGTACATCCCAAGTGTGTTTTTATCAGTCCCCCTAATTTTTTCTTCCCAACTGCACTTCAGTCCTGTATTTCCACAGGCAATTCAGAATATTTAATGAGGAAATCAGAGATAAGTCTTACCTTCTTGAGTAACATCAGTGTGGTACTTCCTCTACATAAACAAARGCTCAAACCCAATTCCCCTTTTGTAATTAAATTTAGAAAAAGTTTGTAAAATGAGTGGCATATTATCCAGAATATGCTAGTAAGGAGTCTAGGCACTGTTTTATCACAGTATGCAAATCACCCCCTCCCCCCTTTTCACAATACAAAATTTCTAGTTGCTAGCTGCAGRGGGAGACAGGTCCTCAGTATTTCTGGAATATCATTATTCCAGAAAAGAATTCCAAAGGAATCACTGGCTCTTACACCATATGAGGTGTCTCTAGGAATGACTGGTCATCTTGTGTCACACCATTAGAATTCCTTTAACTATGTGGTGATAGTTGTTATCAAGCACTTACACAYGTGGCTATACCAGAGGGACAAACACTGGTAACTTCCATTCATCAAGCACCTGGGCCATCTAGGAAATMAAAAAAACATTCCCAGGAAGGAAACTCATGCTCAGAATTCAAATGGATAAATAAATAAATAAATAATGTAGTTAGTCATCATCACTATTTCTTTGAGGAGCTTTGAATTCATGTCATTTGAAGTGGAATATGCTGGATCTAAGTTCTTGGGGAGGGGTAAAGCTCCTGTCCCAGCTTTCACTGCCAGCCAATATACCACTAAATTATATTCTGTGTTAGAATTAACACCCCCGTGCTGACCATACAGAAGATGCTACAGAAAAAACATAGCATAAATGCACAGAGTGAATGGCATTACACACCAATGTCAGCAGTCCTTCAGAGGCACTTGCACTAGGGAGGGGCAGAGGCTGCAGAACATGCCAGAAATACCAATAAATCATTACAAAGACTGCTCTTAAGCATCACTATTAGGTAACTCAGTGGTGTGATCTCAAGAAGGAAAAYTTGCCAATCTCTAAATTCTTCTGTGTGCAAGTAGGGCGTATCTGAATAATCTGAATACCCCAAAGCACTCTAAATCCAACAGAATGGATAGCAACCCCTTTATGTTATGGACTAGGATCAAGAGCACCCTCAGCAAGGTGGTGCAGTSAACACACTGGAGGGAAGGGATGCCATCCAGAGGGACCTCAACAGACTTGATAGGTGAATTCATGCAAAGCTCAAGRAGGAAGTTCAACAAGGCCAAGCACAAGGCACTGAACCTGGGTTCAGCCTAGAACAAATCCAGGCTGGAGGATGAACAGATGGAGAGCAGCCCTGCCAAGAAGGACTTTGGGTGCAGGTGGATGAGGGGCTGGACATGACACAGCAATGTGCACTCACAGCCCAGAGCCATATGTGTCCTGGGCTGCATCCAAAGCAGTGTGGTCACCAAGGTGAGGGAGAGGATAGGGAGGGGATTCTGCCCCTCTTCTCTGCTCTGGTGAGACCCCACCTGCAGTGCTGCATTCAGCTCTGGGGTCCCCAGCACAGGAAGGACATGGACCTGTTGGAGTGGGCCTAGAGGAGGCCACAAGGGTCATCAGAGGGATGAAGCACCTCTCCTATAAAGAAAGGCAGACAAGAGTTCAGGTTGTTCAGTCTGAAGAAAAAGCTCTGGAGAGATCTTATAGCATGTTCCAATAGCTAAAGGGAGCCTACAACTGGAGAAGGACTTTTTACAAGGGTATGTAATGACAGGACAAGGGGGAATGGCTTTAAACTGAAATAGAGTAGATTTAGATTGAATACTAACAATCAATTCTTTGCTGTGAGGGTGATGAGAGGCTGACCAGGGAAGTTTTGGATCCCCCATCCTGGGAACTGTTCAAYGTCAGGTTGGATGGGACTTTTGAGCAACCTGATCTAGTGAAAGGTGTCCCTTTCACATAGTAAG